GCGTGTCTTGTCAAACATCTTGTGCTCCCGATGCCTTACTCCTTAGCCAGCTTGACAGAGCTGGGCTTGGCTCCAATGGGAATCCCGTGCTTGTGCAGTGCTTCAATTAGAACCTCCCGCATGTCTTTGTTGTATGAGTCAAAGTCAAAGACGTTTCTCACCACGTTGGCCAGACCCTCATCGGGAAATTTCTAGCGGGAGGTAAAGGAGAGTAGGAAGGAAAGGCCAGAGAAGAGGAAGTAAAAGAGGAAGGGTCACCAGGGAAAGAAAAGGAAGAGGAAGGAAGGACACAGAGAGTAGGAGGGGGAGAAACAATGATAATGACAGGTGGGAGGTGGGAGTTATGGAAAAGGGGGCAGAGACAAGGATAATTAATATGATTTTCAGCTCCTTAACAGGGGTCAACGCAGGGAAAGTTTGGGATAAGACATAAGAAACGAAGATTAGTCATCTCTAAACTCTGAACAATGACAGACAACAGCATCTTTGCTCCGTCTTTGATGATAATTACAGACTCCAGTTCTAATGCCTAAAAGCATTTTCTGTATTACAAAGCAAACATGGTGGCACATTTGAGAATGATACTACCTACGTACAAGTGATGTTTCCTGGCAGCTTAGAGCAGTCCTTGGATTACTTGTATACATGCTGACTTCAATATTTGATACTTACGCCAGTTTAATATGAGAATCCACCACTGGAAGAATATATTTACAGTATGACAGACAATAGAGGAAAGAAGAAATGGTCTTTTTTAAAACAGCAGATTTCTGATGCTTTCTTTTATATAAGCAGACAACAACCTAAAACATTGTTGGAGTGAAGATTTTGGTGACAGACTTTCTTTTTTCTTTTTTTTTACAATACCAAACCAGCACAGGGGTTTGGAACTGTTTGTGTGCACACTGAATATTTAACACCTTTACCAACATACTTATTTTTAAGATCTGTTTTTGGTAATGTAAAAAATATGAACAATAATATACCATGTTTGTCTGATTAGAGTATTATGAATAAGCAATGAGGGGAGAAGTAAAGACAGACATTACAAATCTAATTTGATAGCTGCTTTCAGTACTTGACAGTTATTGAATATTTCAGAAATTTTTCAGACTATATTTCCAGGCATAGAAGTGCTTGAGAGCAAGGTGGAAATTAACATAATAGCTGCAAATACGAATGCATCCCCTGCCCTTTCAACTCCTTACTGCAATACATCTTCAGTTCTGATGTGAGTAATCTTTCTGCCATTATTAGGACCATAATTGCACTTTTAAGCCTCCATATTACAGTGTACTTATACAGTCCACTGAATCGCTGCATAGTCAATAGCAGTCTCTCCCAGTAGGTTACAGCTGACTATAGAGCACTGGGCTGCATCGATCACGATGGTATAAATTAAGGTTAAAATAGCAATGAAGGCATAAAACGAGCTATTTAGAGTACAGCTAAATTGAAATGATTCCCTGTCACACCCAGTCATTCAGACATCAATAATGGTGGTGATGGATGAAAGAACTGGGAGGTCACTCAAATATGAGCTGGTCTCTGTACACTAAACTGTTGATCTATAGTGCAAGCTTTAATGCTTAATCCCCTCTCCTCTTCTTTTGGAGTCTGTCCTTTTTGTGCTCTATAGCGTGTACATTTCTGAAGAATGTAACCACAAGGAGGCATGGTAATGTGACAGCTCTGCATGCAGCCATTCACTTGCTTTTCTTTTTCCAGATGATTGAGCTGAGAGGATGATGGTAAACAGCAGCTTATAGCTATTGATGGTGGGAGACTGTTAATGTAAACAGCATGCGCTCTGTAATGTGGCTCCATACTTTTCGTCTGAAGGTGGAAAACGGAGTAGCTGCTCAAAAAACTATGGTACCAAAGTGACAAATAAGATTTGAAAATATGGTGACAATCACTTCTAAAACCTTGTAAAATATCATTCTGAATGTAAAACAAAACATCTACTCATTGAAGAAAGTCCAGCAATTTTATACTATACAAATATGTCGCTTTGATGACATATTGATGATCATCTCGCCTATCTCTTAAGTCGGTTTGTGGTGCACATCTGTGGGCTCTGAATACTAGGAAATTAGAGGGTTAAAGAGAGGAATCGGTGGCCGGAGAAAGAAAGACATGACAAATGAGGGTGGAGGGACTTTTAAGCTCCTATGGAACGGACTGGAAAATTCCTTTTAAGAGCACAGCCAATGTGACATATGATACTAATTATTTTAATGTTGGAAACCACAGTCCTGCATCGGGCAATTTAAGGCGGAGCCATTATGCTTGTCTTTATGATATACACATCACAAATTACAAAAAGATTCGGTACACTGTGAAAAATGTATATTAAAAAAATGCAGTGATTTGCATATCTTACCTAAGCCACATTTTACTTACAAGAGAATACAGAAAATATATTGAATGTTTAAACTGAGAAAAAGTATCATTTTAAGAAAAAAAATAAGAGCATTTTGAATTTGATGGCAGCTACAGGTCTCAAAAACAGTTGTGACTGGGCCATTTTTATCACAGTGTAGCATCGCCTCTTCTTTTAACATCAGTCTTTAAAAGTTTAGGAATTGAGAAGAGAGCTCTTGGACTTTTGGGAGAGGAACGCTATCCCATTCTTGTCTCATATAAGAGTCTAGCTGCTCAACGGTCCTGGTTCTTCTTGGTCCTATTTTTGTGTCACGATGCTTCATTTGATGAAAGCCCTCTGACTCTTCTATTATGAAGCCATGCCATTATAATATATATGGAGTATGCTTTCTATCATTGTCTAGCTGAATTATGCAAGGCTTTTCCTGAAAAAGACACCTGGATCTTGTGGTAAAACCTGTATTTACCTTATAGTATGGATGGTACCTTTCCAAGCTGCCACTAAATGAGCCATGATAAGATTCTACTTTTTAGTCCAGAGGACGCAGTGTCCATGTTTTCCAAAAAGAATTTCAAATTTTGATTTCTCTGAGCACAGAACAGTTTTCACTTAAAAAAGCTTTGGCCCAGAGACAACAGTGGTGTTTCAGGATTTTGTTCACACGATAGAGCTTTAACCTGTATTTGTGGATGGCACAGTGAACTGTGTTACTGAACCCCAAGAATCACATCTGTTTTCACTGCAGTGCTGCCTGAGGGCCTGGTGATCATGTTCATTTATTATTGATTTTCAGCCTTGTCCCTCGGGCAAAGAGATTTCCCCAGTTTCTCTGACTCTTCTGATGACATTATGCACTGAGGATGATGAGATATTAGCTTTTTGCACACTGGTACCCATCTTCACTTCTGAGAATCTCTGCCTCTCTGAGACGCTCTTTTTACACCCTAACATGTTACTAACCAATGAACCCAATTAGCTGCACAATGTTCCGCCAGCCGTCTGTTTCTACAATAGCACCACTTACCTTTCCAGCATTGCCCTAATCATAACTTTTAAAAGACGTGTTGCTGTTATCAAATTCAAATGCCCTCATTTGTTTTCATTAAATAGTAAAATGTCTTAATTTAAAAATTTGATATATTTTCTGAATAAAATGATGATTTCTATTTTTAATTTCATTTTACATAGTATACAAACCATTTTAGATCCAAGGTTGTATATAACGCTCCAGTGGTGCATGCTCTTATAAAAACATGGTCAAGGTTTGAAGTAATGTGTTTAAGCTATGTACAAGTATATACATATATATATATAAATATATATATATATATTTTTTTAACTAGATGATGTTTATTTGTGTTCTTATAGGTTGTTTTATATTACGTTCCTTATTTAAAAACTGTATTTTCTTTGTTTCTGGGAAATTCTAAATTTAAAAAAAAAAAAGCTATGTACAAGTAATCCACATGAATCAAAGGTTCACAGGTCAGACTGCTCTAAATGCTTTGTTTCAAACTTCTATAGCTCTGTCTGATGTAACAGAGGGGATGCCACGAACATCAATACTGCTATTTCTAGATACCAAAGTTCTATAATAATACTTTTTTTTGTTTTAGTACTACAGGTACAGTAGATAGTACATGTACCAGCTGGGGCAGCATAGTCTTGTCAATGTTCTAGTCATGCTGATGAATGAAAAGAAGGACACCCACAAGTTCAAGAAAAAGTGTGCAAGGAATAGCAATAACTGCAATGGAAGATGGTGACTAGTCCAGCTGTTGTCACAGCTCTGCTCTGACGTGGTTATAAGAAAGATAAGAGTTTAGTATGGAAGCACTTTTCATTTGAAGCAGATGACCAAGGGCAATATGCAAACAATCCTATCATGCTTCTCAGACCCAGGCAGGAAATACTTGCAGTATAGTGACAGACCTAAAACCATCTGTTCAAAGAATTCAAGTTGACAAAATTTCAGTTAGTAACATATAGTTACTATATGTTACTAACTCAGTAACATATAGTTACTATATGTTACTGAGTTAGTAACATATGTTGTTACATATAGTAAGAACATCCAAAGTATTATCCTTCTTGTTTAGATGTTTTTTTCTTCAAAACAAAGTTCAGGTTTAAGTACATGCAATATCTTAATTATATTGGTAAAGGTACAGACTACTACATTTCCTGTATTGTGACATTCCTAGTAGAGAGGGGGCATATTTAATATGGTCATCTCAGGCATAGAGGTCTGGCTGGGGGCCCCACCCACCTGTTACTCAAACCTCTTTTTTTTATATCATTGATAGCCAATCAGAAGAAACCTGGCTTAAAGGAACAGAGCTAAAACATAGATTCGATTTTTTTGAACTCTCAGTCAAGTAACGCCACTTTACAAGAGGATAAAAACATGGAGATACCGTTGATCCCTTTAACTGACAGTTAGCTGTATGTTTAAGCTGTAAGCTTCTGAAAGTGGACCAAAGCACAGACACCCTCTCTCCTCTCGGAGACAGCTATATTTTGAGGAGACTCTCTTACATTATTAAAGCACTAGCAGTTCACGATTCAGGTCGCATAAATGTTATGAATTATTAATAAAAGGTAGTCAGTATGTACCGTATTTCAGTGTGTCTTCCTACCTGGAGGTGTTTGACAATGTTGACCACCTCTCTAGTAGAATAGGGGTAGTTGATGGTACCCTGGTCGGCCAAGGACCTGAGCTCTCCAAAGGCTGCCACGAGCTTTTGCAACGTAGCATCGGGAACATCGGGGCCATACTGTTTTAGCATAGCCAGCTCCGCTTTGGGCTTCGGGTTGTCCACAGCATGGCAGCTAAAAATATCGCCTGGTACAAAATACAAGACAGAATTTAATGTGTTTCTCTCCATATACAATATTCGATACCCCGGGCAAAAAAAAAAGTTAAGTGTTTATCTATTTTTAATGTGTTGGGGTATTAATGTTGTAGGAAAAGCCTCAGTTTCAGTTGTGCGTGTGTTTTTGGGTACCTAGAGCTCCAAAGAAGTCATTGCCCAGAAAAGGAAAACCAGGTCTGTTAGCGAGGACGATCATCCTGAAGTCTGGGTGCATAATTATGGTGTCAGGCCTCCCCTCGGCTTCATGTGGACCTGTGGAACAGACAGTTGTTGTCTACACATGACCAAAACAAGCACAGTTTCATCTCAGTCTGTTTCTGTATGAATCTCCTTTTTTACTCTGTGTTTTAATTTGTGTCACAGATTTTCACACACACCTCTACTACGCTGACAGCCTGAAGGTCGTGTTTATGAAGTCTCAAGATTGCGTTTACATTCCACTAGGAGGATGAGCCTCTCAGGAATGGAGTAGCTGTCAGCAGCCCATGTGATTACATGGGAATATGTGGAAAAACTAAATGTTTACAGAGCAGCGTGATCCAAAATCTGTTGGTACCTGTCCATAAAGGCTTTTATCTTAAGCTTCCTTCAGTGGCCTGCATCTGATGTTCCACTCGTGTTTGCCTTGCAGTACATGCAGTCCTTAATTCGTCGTAAAAACAGTTCTCGTTCTGTATCTGGGACATGTCTGCTGTCAAGGTGTGTGCATGCATGAATGTGCGTATGAGTGCACCTGAGATGATTCTGCGTCCATCAGCCAGGATCATCTCTCCGCTCTCCACCAGGGTTTTGAGAATGCAGGTGACGTTTGTAGGAGCTTTGTCGGCCTCATCTATCACTAACACATGGCCAAACTTCACTGCCTTTACCTGAACACAGACAACACACACAAACATACACACACATGCCATTTGACTAACAAAAAAGCACAACTGCTGTTACAGTTGGGAAAAAGCTGATGATGAAGATGCTGTCCCAGATAGAAAGAGTTCATGTGGTGAATACATATATCAAACTGGCCTACACATTCACAATCCACCCTCACAGGTTTTTTCACTTATTTTGACTAAGTAGTCCTAATTTTGGGATTGTGTAGGTGTGCATCACAATGTACTAAAAGCTCTGGACACTGTGTTCTGAGAAGTCATCAGATATGCTCCTATGAAAGCTGCTTATTCGACACATAAGTTGAGAAAGTTCTTAGGCATATGGGAGACACAAATACCACAGTTTCTTCTCTGCTGGCGATTAGAACAACAAAGCTACTATTATGTATTTTTATTTTCATGTATTTCATGGAGTAAACCATTAAGAAGCCTGCCATTGTCAAGCAAAATAATCCTTTTTTAAAATCTTGATCTAAAATGGCCAAGATGGATATCTTTCTCTGAGATTAAAAAACAACAAATAATGTTCACACACAACTCTGTGCCACTGCACCCAGAAATGTAATACACTATTGATGATTTTGTATCTTTCACTAAAAAGTCCAGAAAATAAGACAAATCACTGGTAATCATAAGTGGAATCCAATGACAGTCCCTGAGCATTCACATACTGTTATACATAATATTATATATTTACATGTATGAGTCCTCAAGGCTCCATCCTTGGACCTTTCATACTTACATATACACCCTTTCTCTATCTCAGATGTTGCATTCATATTACATTTCATTCTTATTCACACCGCACACATCAGTGTCACCTCAGGACTACTGAGCCCTACACTTGAAATTAATGAGTGGATGTGCCCAAACTTCCTGAAATTGAAAGAAAAGACTGAGGTATATTTTTTCACCTCTAAAGAAAAAAAGAATTAAAGTCTCTAACCTATCTAGACGAATGTTGCTTAAATTCTCAAACCAGGCAAGAAATCTTGAAATAATTATTGACTGACCTAAATATCGATAGTCATATAAAGACAATTAAAAAAAATCAGCCTATTAACCTTAATCTTAAAACTATAGCAAAAATGTATGGATGTCTGTTGTTACAGTTGTGAAAAAGCTGATGATGAAGATGCTGTCCCAGATAGAAAGAGTTCATGTGGTGAATACATATATCAAACTGGCCTACACATTCACAATCCGCAGGATGTCTGTCTAAAACTGATACAAAAATAAATAAATATGTGCACAGATTTCTTTTTAGTGGACTATTGTAACAGTGTCTTTATGGGTCTTACTAAAACTCCATCAGACAGCTACAGCTCATTTAGATTCCTGTAATTACACAAAAACAGTTGAGCACATTAGTCCAATTCTCAAATCTCTGCACAGGCTTTCTTCATCACAAAAGATGGCTTTTAGAACACTTCTAATAGTTCACACTAAGAATTAAACTGACTGAGTTACATTTCAAATGTACTTGTACCTTACAAAACATCCAGAACTCTCAGGTAAATAAGAACATGTTTTCTATGTGGCAAAAACAAATAAAACCATACAGAATTAAACGATTCCAACACAACTTGATTTGTGGTGATGATCATGTCTACCACAATATACATCTGTGACATCTGTGAACATGGGGGAAAAAAAACTAACTGACCAGAGGGGAGTCCTCATATGTAATGATGCCATCTCGCACCGAGGGCTGTAAGGTCAGAGTCTGGACTGTTGTATCCCTGCAGAGGCAAAAGAAAACGAAAAAAGAAGATGGTTACAACAGAGCCATTACATAAGAGGAAACAGGCTCAAAGAATTCTGAGCAGAAATCCATGTGGACAGTAAAGACGGCTAGGTAATGGGAAACATATCTGCTGTCATGTTGTTGCTCTAACCCGTAAGCACAGCACTAATTATGGTAGTAAAAATGTGGGTAAAGGTACTTAAAAAAAAACTTTTTAAGCCTTGCTGTAATGTGAATTACTTCTACACCTGTTCAGTGCTTTGGTGCAACAAGCCACAATGCACACCAGTCAACAATCTGCCTTGACTTTGGACTCTCTAATGCGTGGTTTACACCCTTGTTAGCATCCAAATGAATGTTTACCCTCTCTCCTCATTCATTCAGCGTTTCAAGATAACTGCCCAGGCATGTTTCAAAGATGGCTGCTGAGTAGCAAGACTGGCATTAGAAGGACTTTAGCTACACGTACATGCACAGCAGGGGAGAAGCACAGCACATCTTTATTAGACAAACAAATTGTACTTTTTCTTTTAATTATATAGTGCTAGAAAAAAAGTGCACCCTTAGAAATGCTTTCTATTTCTTAAGGAGTTTTTTGGGGACTTTTCCTTCATTAGATAGTGGAATGGAGAGTGGAGAGGAAAGCAAGGGGACTCGGGCCGCATATGAACCCATGGTGCCTCATTTCAGCCTGGTTGCATGTGCTCACCTGCTTGCCCCATAAGCTTAAGTTACACTCAGAAATGCTTTGTATTAAGAACAAAAAGGGCAAAACTGGTTCTGGTTACTAATTCTTCTACAAAGTAACTCCTAACTGAAATGGCTAAACTTAGTCTTGTTGAACTGAAAGGGTAACTCTGGTGATCAGATCTTGCACATGTTTCTCGTAGTGCTTTTTTACTTGAACATTTGTTACTATCATTTGATGTAGATGCAGTGCAGCTAAAAAAAAAAAGGTGTCAGTGACACTGTACTTGGTTTCCACAGGCCAGCCACACAATCATAACACTGAACATTTCCCCGACAACTATAACTCCCTGGGGTCGCCCAAAATTTTCTCTTCCTCTGAACATCTCCTCTCGCTTGCTCTTCGATATCTCACAATATCTGACCCAGGAGCTGTCCTAGTTTCTTTCCTGGCCGGCTGCACGTGTCTTGCTTTTTCTGAGCCACATCTCTGTAGGCCTTCAGTCACACAGGCTCCCAATAGCCACAGGCAGATATTTCTGCCTCTGCCCTGGTCTAATATTAGCTGCTGCTACAGTAGCAAACCAGGCCACATCCATGCTCAGCTCCACTTTGACTTTCACATGACTTTAAACAACTACACACGCACAGGCAGTAGAAAAATCTGGCCTTAAGAATGATATTGAATATGTTATTGATCTAGAATTGACCGGCGTCAAAATTAAACTTTTCTCCAGTAAATTGCTCGGCTTCCATCAGAGTCATTGATTTCTTATAAGTGCCGAGATCAAAATGAGGCCCGTCTCTTGGCTCCATGATCTGAGCTACAGTCAACAGCAACCCATCAATCTATTAATGCAAGAACCTGACCTAAAATTCTTATGGTGTCACCATGTGAGTATTTATAGAACCAGGGGACCCGAATTAACAAAGACTGAAAAGGTTTTTCTTTAGTTTGTCCATGTAAAGTCTTCGTTCTGGGAAAGAAAGGCCTAATTTACTGAGGAAAAAAATAGATTTTAATGCTCTTATATGAGAAGGTCAAGGCTGCCAAGGTAGTAAGAAAAATACTGGCTTCTTCCTTACAGCTTTTGGTGGAACAGGAAAGTTTAGTGATATATCTTTAAAAAACATTAAAACATCAAATTAAAAGTGGCATCAGACACACTGAGCAGGGAAGTCTTCTTTGTCCATCTGATTTATTCCAACAACTGTGTTGTAATAAAGAAGCTCTTCATTCACATCTCTCATGTTTGTCTGTCTTCCTTTACCCACAACCAGCCAGGCAGATCCCTGCCCCTCCCTGAGCCTGGTTCTGTTGGTAGTTTCTTCCTGTTAAAAAGGGAGCTTTTCCTTCCCCCTGTCCCCGAGTGCTTGCTCATTGGATGGGTCATCTGATTGTTGGAGTTTTCTCTCAATTATCGTAGAATCTTTACCATTACACTATAAAGCACTTTGAGGAAATTGGCGCAACTTGGAGCTATATAATGTACTAATTTTAAACTGCAGACTGCCACTGTGATGGCTGGCCATTTCAACTCATTTCTTTGCCATTGCATATGTGTTTACAATTTTCATGTAACCTACAATAACAGAGAAAATCCAACAATCCAACGTCACCCTATGAACAAGCTTTTGGCAACAGTGGGAAGGAAAAACATGAAGAAACCAGGAAGAATCAGGCTGTGGGAGGGGGCAGCCATCTTTTTTGACCAGTTGGGGGTGAAGGGAGGGGGTCAGGTGAAAAGACACACTATGGAAGAGAGTCAGAGATTAATGACTAAATGTGAATGATAAGTGTCTCTTAACTGTTCTGCTGGTCAACTCGGTTCCTTGATTCAGTTATAAACTGAATTTCAGATTACATAACATAATCTTTCCACATAGCTCCTTGTTACTGCAGAAGTACCCTCTGAATCAGAAAGTTGTTGGTTGGGAAGCACTACTTTAAACATGAACCTTATAAAACTTTAACTTAGCTTCTGGAACTAAAAGTCTCCAGAATGACTCCTCTGCTTCCAAAAATAAGGCTAGTTGTGCTGAAATCCATGGGAAAACAAAATTTAGGCTCTCTGATCTAATCAAACTGATGAGTTTATGGTCTCAGTAACTGGTTTTAGATCTTATCACTGGCAGCATAAATCATTAGTAAATCATGATTTCAATTAGAGTCAAAAAGAAAAACACCGTAGGGTATGCTTAGTGGAGGAGCTACGCTGTGACTGGGGGTGCAGAGTACCTTTATTTCTCAGTGAGACTTCTTAGTTGGCTCATGAAGTTTGGTTTCAAAAAGGCTAGGACAGCAACAGAAAAATGATGCTATGGTGATTCTCCTCACCTGTGGAGCTGTAGATATTCTCTGGGCCTGTTAAGAAGGTGCAGGAACCGGTCCACAATTTTATTTTTGCCAACACCCTGTGGAGGGACATCATCATCAGTCTTTATATGTGGACTGTGTTTGTAGTTACACCACAAAGATAGAAAGAAGCATCCATTTCAACTTCCAAAGAGGCAGGACTGAGAGGAAGACCCAACTGCATCCCTCTAATTTTGATGGTGCTTTGCTGTGACAGGGGCTGTTCTTCGGGACTCCCACCGGCATCCCACAGAGCCTGTCGGATCTCTAGGCCAGTCTGTCAGACGTCCAGTAAGTCGCTCTGACAGCTCGTAATGCCTCAGAGTGGACCGTGCATGGTCACACACTCAGATTTGCAAATGCCTTCTGCCACTCAGTCCCTCTCATATGCAAGCGCACAAATAAACACAAACACAGAAACACTCCTCTGGGCTCACAGCACACCATGTCCAGTCATCCATCCTCATCTATCCTCCCTTTAACCCTGCCCAGTTGGACAACGCTGGGGGCACAGAGTGTCCCCCAAGGAGTTGCTGCATGTGTCCTTATGTTACTTATGCCTTATGTGAACTGTGACTGCGCAGGGTTGGAGGGTGACATGAGGATGCAGGGAGTCTATTTCGTAACTCTTCCCTCCATGCTCGAACAGAGCTGACATGGGTGGCCTACTTCACTAAAATCCACTACTGCAGAAATGAGACAAAACCATGGTCTGCAAACACAGATCTGACCTCTGTTTATTTTACATGACAAAAAGTGGGTTTGTAATCCTGACCATAAATGGACCAAAGGTTGCCCAGGGTTCTTTTCTGTGGGCAGAGGAAATTACAATATGGTGAAATTAATACGCTTTCAAACATCACTCACCTGGTTTCCCACTAAGAGGAGGTGCTCTCCTAACAGAAAGTCTTTCAGCATGTCCTCCATCACCATCATGTGCTGCAGAGATATTTAAGCAAACACATATTCAGCTGAACAAGTAGCTCAGATTGTAATTTAACCCAGATGGATGTTGCAAAGAGCAATACTGCTTACAGTTGAGAATAAATCAGCTTAAAATGTATTAAAAACAACAAAGTTTGCTCAGAAAACAGGTCATTCATAAAGTAGGTCATCCTCGTTGCTTCCATCCTATCTCAACCTCTTCCACCTTTTTTATTTCGGACCAAAACACGGGCAGGCAGAGGAAAAAGCGCAAAATGGGGACATGAAGAAAGAGATAAATCATCAGTGTTGCCAGAGGATGTCACAGTATCATTACCATTGCTGGTTGTTTTTTGGATATACTGCAATTAATGTCACCAATAAGGCAAGGATTAGGCACAGGACACTAGCATTAAAGCAAACAAAAACCTACTGATTTATCCGCTGAGGAAAGCGATCTGTGAACAGGATACCAAAGGCAAAATTTATGGAACTTGCTGCATTTAAAGATTTGATTCAGATTCAGCTGCTTGAGTTGTGATATTTGTTACCACTCAGCATCAATCAGCACAGAGCAACAGAAGTAGGACTGTGAAGAATCTGAAAAGAAAGATAAGCACTTGGAGTTCTGCCCATTTTCACCCCCACAGCATGTACCCTGAAGCCGACGTGACTTTTGTATTTTTGGCAACTGAACATTTTAAAAACTGCAAAAACACAAAGTCCATCAGGAGGAAGCTTTTTTTTAAAAATTTTTAATCCTATTTAAACACCAAAATTCAATGTGTATCACACCAAACATTCAGCAGTAATCATGCCTGGCGTACACACCACGACACAGACAGTGAAGAATTTTATTATACCATAAAAAACCCCAATACCAACCAATCAGAGGTCGCTAACAGTGTATTGGGGCTGATGTTACTGCCAGGCCAGATTAGCATCTATAAAACTATCTGATAAGGGTCCAACACAGATGAGAAAGAGCATGGCCAGAGGAAATATCAGCTAATACCGGAACTAAAAGCAAAATCCTTACACAATGAAAACTTTAATCTGACAAAGGCAAGTATGATAACGATGACAACAAGGGACAGAGCTGTGTTTTCATTGGTGTATGATTGCCTGAACTGGGTGGTGGTGAATCTGCAGAGTTAAGCTTTCTCAGTTTGAGGGAGAAAAAAAAAGAGCAATTGAAATTCAGATTACGCTTTACTGGTTGTAATCTGCCTTAGCACTTATGTGATCAAATCTGGGTCATGTGCTGAGACTGAAAAAAGTCTTTTCCAGCCCTCTCACAGCTACACATTTGCTTTAGAATGAGACATAAAATACTGATGGTTGTGAAGTGCATGCTTACCTGAGGATTATCATAGAAGAGCACGTCAGGAACCTTCATTTTCTGGTCAGCATTGTAGATGGGAGCGGAGACACTCCCAATGGTCAACACACCGTCCTTTACCATACCTGTAGAAATACAGCAATGTGGGCCATAAACACGGGCTTCTTCATTTAGACTGACTAATGCTGGGAATGGTTCCTTTTACCCCAACTCAGACTTTGAGATGCAGTGATTTGACCGTACAAACTGCAATAAAACTGCATTTTCTCACATGCAGCCCAGGCCCAAACCTTTCTGGACATGACAGAAACACATGTGAGACAGAGGCGCCTCCAGAATTTTTTAATTATAGGGGTGGCCATATGGGAGCCACTAAAAATATTGGGGTGGGACACCAAAAAGAGAATTTACAGTTTTATTATGCTGTTGTCAAAAAAGAGAGAGTGCTTGCAGTACTGGTGCCTTCTGGAGCTGTTTAATTGAATTGTCTAAATAATAATCGGGCGTGCTGTGTGGTACAGCCAAGTTTGTGCTTTATCTTTGGTGAGTAAAATGTTATTATTATTATTAGCAGACACCTTAGGACTTCACCATCTTGTACAAATATTCTCACTTCTGGCTCAAAAATAAAATAAAATCCAAGTCTAACGCTCCAGAAACCTATGACGCCATGGCGGCTAGGTCTATCTTTTAAGTACAGTCTTTGGTGAAAATATTACATTGGACACTTTAACCTGCTGCTGCTGAATACAAAGTTGGTGTGATGTCAGATTGTGCTGATGCACGACTATCAAAGCTAACAGGAAATATTCTTCCAGTGGAAAAGAAGAACTATGAACATTCATAACATAATGTGGATGAATAATGCATATCAGAAATCTGATACTGTCATTCATGTCTAGAAGATGTATCAGTGTAGTTGGCAAAAATTCGGAAACGTTACATTTCTATTGCTTTTTTGTTTTTGTTTAGGTACCTTGCCTGTACTGCAGGCAGCACGTGTATTGAAGCTGCAGTTCTCTCAGAACTGACAGGGACAGCATACTAGTGTCCTTAAATGCTGAAGAAGGAGCAATACACCCAAAAGCACAGGGGAAACTGCAGGCAGAAGATGGTAACTAATGCTGCTACTGCAAAATCTCTGCCCATGCTTTAAGAAAGGCAACAGGGCTATACACAAACAATGCTAATGTTGCTAATTTCAAAGCAAAGGAGAAAATACCTCAAATTTCATGAAGCAGCTAAAAGCATGGAATTACAGTTTCATTAAGAATTCCAGGTGGATGAGTTTCAATTCAACATTCAACAACATCCACAGAATTATCCTTCTTATGTTATCCTGAAGTACACATTGGCGCTTTGTATGAGACAGCTGGCTGTGCCAGGTTAAAATCAGCTTTGCCCCATCAGTTACAATATTTGCAGTAGCTAATATAGAAATGCTTAACTGAGCATAATCTAATGAATGTCATACCTCATAGTGACATTAGCAAGCTACTAAGGAACCAACCCAACATTTCCTGCTAACAAAGCATTGTGCCAACATTTTAAGTAAACAACATGCCACCACCAAGTTAGTGGATTCAAACGACTTTTTTGACAAAGGAGGTTAAAAACATGGAAGAATCATTTTGTTTTGACATCAAATGAGCATCAAGAATCATGTACCAATATTAGTAACCCAGTAGTAAATATCCTGGATTGTGACATGTAATACAAAGAAAAACAATCCATGGAGTTCCACAGCATCCTTTTATTTTATGTTTTGATCTTACCTACAATAGCATCATTAGCTGCTTTGTCACTGAGCATTTTGTCACCAGCTTTTTAGTGATAATAATCCCACTCACTGGTTTACATGAGTGGTGCTCCTAGCTCTCACATGCCAACTCACAATAGAACACTAATCACACACTGAAGTGATCCACTGTTCAAATTATTAGTGCTTTGGAAAACATCCATTTTACCTGTAACCAGAATAATTGCATGCATAAGTCAAATGAGAGAGTCAAACCTGATTTTTGACAATGCTGAGAGGTGCTTGTGAGTCAGAAGACGAGATTATTTTGGGTTGAGCTGTTTGTTTTCTTTGAGGCCAGCTGAATCCTGCTTTCCATCTTTTAAATAATACATGTGCCTGCGCTACCAGTATGTCTACACAGTAGAAGTCGACATTTATTCTTTACAAGGAAACAGATCACAAGTTCAGAATGAATGCTAAGAGACAAAACTTTCCGGCTACCAGCTTTACAAGTTATTTGTCATTTATCGTGCATTGTTCCATTTCTGTAGAATAAGCGATTGAGGTTGCCTTTGGAGGGGGGTTACAGTTCTATATTCAGTTATTAACCTATGTTCCGTAATATTGGTACAATAAAGACTTTATTGCTGTATGTAAATGAAGCGAACTGATTTGTGCTTCTGCTGGTATACAGTGCTGTGCAGAAGTCTTGAGTCACAATCTTAATGGTCCTCTATGAATCATTCAAGAACAAAAAAGGCACCTAACTAAAGGGATGAGCCTGTGTTATGTCAACAACACATAACACACAATTTCGCATAATATACCATTTTAAATCTAATTGATCTAAGTGACTGGAACTCACAGGGATAATCAAGAGAGTGATCAGCGGGGTCTGTTGCATCCTGTATGGAGCAGTTCAGGAGGTTTTTTTGAAGAGAGGAACGGGCCAGGCTGGGCAGGAATCTAAAACACACACACACGCACAAAATAAAAACCCACACAGTTGCCTTGTTTTTATGACACACAAATCAAATATTAACATTAATTTCTGT